ACCCACGCAAGCATAGCTTTACGAAAGAGAGGAATACCCTGCAAAAGAGAAAGAGAGGAAGAGAGAGAGAGAGATACACACGCTGATATCGCACGACCTTGCGGCGTTCGACGAATCAAGAAAAAATCCGTTGAGTACGATGGGCTTGGATAAAAGCACGGGAGATTAATTAAATCAACAAATTTTCCTATTCTTTAAGATACTTTATTAAAAGGGTGAAGCTTTTAAATGTAAAGAAAAAAGACAAACAAACAAAACTGCTACGTATAATAAGCTTTTACGAATTTAATCGCAATTACCTTCTCGTACCAGCACGCTCGGTCTACGATACATTGAAAAAATGTTTGAAATATGTTTCCAATGAATGCATTGAATTGCACGAAAAATATCGTTAAAATCAAAAGATCAACGTTAACTTTGTAACTTTTATTTTCTATTTTTCTGTACTGATCTTTTATTACTTCCATCGTTTAAAATTCATTCCTTCGAGAGAGACAGATTTTCATGAACGATTCTCTGATAGAATTTAATTAACTCGAGTAAAACGACAATGATGTTAACAGACATGAGGTATTAAACAAGAAAGAATGTAGAAAGGTTTGACTAGGTTGTAAATCATATCAATTATTAATATCTTAATTTCGAGTCGACCGTTAAGTATCGTGTCGAAATGGGGGTTCCCTCAACGGCGTATCTACTTGGACGTTCTCCTAACGTCTTTTCCTATCATCCCTTATCCAGCAATTTTTCCTTCTTCCATAGTATCGACCATCGAAGGAAATAAGTTGGAAGTTGAAAAGGGAGCGCAATTAAGCGCGCGCTCTCTCTCTCTCTCTCTCTCTCTCTGTTCCCTCAGTCTTCGGGGATCTATTCATTTTTCAAGTAACGTCCTCGGACACCCTCATCTAAGTTTTAAATCGCGTGCAACCCCTCTCTCGGACTCGATATTTCCGCGAATGAACCACCCCGATGGTCTCGCTCGAGTAAAAGAAGGGTTGATTGGCTCGTCGATTTATCGAACCGACTGACGACACGATATATATATATATAACGTGTCATTTGATTTTTACCCTTAAAAATAAAATTTCATTCGATTTATAATGATATAAATTAAAAAAAAAATGTAGAACACATATTATGCGAGATCCTATCGAAAATATTCTCACTCGGTGGATATCTAAATAAACAAGTTATCTTTTCTAATGCAATAACATTGTTTAACGATAGACACGCTAGTTGAGATACAAAAATCTTGGAGTATAGCAAGTTATGTCAGTCTGATTGGTAGCAGATACCAAAGATAAGATTTTCTTTCTTGCGTTATATGAAACTTGACGGATCAAATAAATGTGTAACACACTTACTGGCAGTGTACCATATGAGTTTTATTCGGCTAACCAAGAGATTTCATCACGAGTTTACCGTACAAAAATCTTACGGACTTTTTCTTTTTCTCTCTTACTCTTTCTATTTCTTTTTTGCCTTTTGTTTTTTTTTCTCTTTCCTATCCTTTGTCATTACTACCACCACTACCACTACCACCACTACCAATCTTCTAGAAGTGGAAAGAAGATGAGTATTGAGAGGTCGAAAGAGATATATCTTCACTACGAAGAGAATCCGGATTGCGATATAAGATTACGAACGGGACCCCAATGATGAAATTTCTTATATGTATATACAATCTGTGTGTGTGTGTGCACGATTGTTATATATAAACCGTGCGAGATGTTTCTTCGTCTGCTTTTACATCCTTCTGTCGATATAAGTGGTTTCGTTGTATGTGTCGAGTGCTTCATTCGTAGGAATCGAAGCCTGAAATGGTTTCACGTGGATATGTCTGTGTATGTGTTTGTCTGCGTGCGTGAAAGGTGGTCCGATCGTATCTTCGGATATGGGTCAGCCACAGGAAGGTTGATTCGACCTACTACACAAGCCGGAAATTCTGCATTCAGTACCGGACGAGACTTTTCGTACAAAACGAAAGGGTAAAGAGGGTTGAGAGAGAGAGAAAGAGAGATAGAGAAGAAAAAGAAAAAAAAAAAGAAAAAGAGTACGGTGATTTAAGTTGGAGATAGCAACTACGTTCCGATATCTCAAATCCATTTTTGGCTCAAGCTACAATCGATGAAGAAACATACTCTTCTCTAACCTCTTTTTCCTTCTTTCTTACCACCCCTTTCTCTCCCCTCCCCCATAATTCTCTCTCTTTCTCTCTCTTTCAACCTCTTCCTTCTTCTTCCGTTCGACCCTTTTGCGAAATTGCTTCGAGTGTCACCTGAGAGCTAAAAGTAACCACGAAGCAAACCATAGAAGTCAAGTTTTCCGATAAATTCTTTTACCGGTGTATTTCAAGCGAACAAGCTACGTTTGGCTTGTCATGCAACGATAGCAGTTTCGAGTTTCGTCGTACTATTTTCACCGTGAGAACCTAGACTTCTGTCAATGATAAACGATATCGAGGCCATCGAATGGTCGGTCGGTCGGTCGGTCGGTGGTCCTCGCCAACTATCCATTTTACTGTTTAAACAATTATAAACGATAATAATAGGAAACGATTTTTTTATATTGTGATATTAAAACGATTTTTTTTTCTTTTTTCTTAATAACGATCGGTCGATATTGCGACGAAAGAAGAAATGGTCGATTAATTAATTATTTTTCTTTTTTCCTGCCGGTTTTACCTTCCTTTCAAAATTTCTGAAAGAACGAATCAAGAACGAAAAAGTTTCGTTTCTATCGAGGCTATTTTAAAAAGGCACGGCCATTAGTTTTACCAGTTGAAAGATTGATCGTCATTAGTCGGTCAAAAGTTATTCGTAACGTTCGAAGTCGTTAAACACATAAACGTGAAATGAGATTGCAATAAGTTACGAGTATCTCTACAAATTGAACCAGCAGCAGCAGCAGCAACAAATCTTCTCGAAAAGTTTCAACAATAACGCGTAATCGTTTACCGTAGTAGTGTCATAAGTCGATAGAGTATAATTAGTGAAAGATCTCGTCTCAGGTGGAACTATTTCAACAAGTACTTATCATTTATCAACAATAGAGAAATATCGTTTGGAACATTTGAGATTCTACGTTAAATTTACAACGAAAGTTTACGATGGTCAGATTAATGCATGGTCCGAATCCTATCTTGTGGTATAAGTGTGTAAGTAAATCGTCTAAAAGATGGACAAACTTCAAGGTTGAACTATACCATATCGATTCCATGTCAACTATGTTGAATTTACACTTATTGTTGAAATTAATACACCCAGAGTTTGCGGTACACCACCGGTTCCCTACGAAATCGCTTTTAAGCTTCAACATATTTTGTCTCTGAAAATATATCCTATCGTAATCTTCGGAACAATAAAGCCGAAGGATTCTCCTTGTCGATTACAAATACGAGTGGTGCTTTCTCGTTTGTAGAAATCGTTTGAATTGCATGAACCGGATCGTATCAATCGCGAATAGATTTGTGAATGTCAATCGTTAAAACTTAAACTTCTGAAAGATAACTGATATGATATTTTTTACATAGAAATTAATGATTTGAGAAATACGATTAAAAAACAATTTATAAATACGAACGAACGAACGAACGAACTAACGAAAAAGTTTCCTTGCATTTTTTATCGGCGAATAAGGTTAACTCGATTTGAAACGATGACGCGGTGAAACCACAAAATATCGTTTAATTTTTTATAAGAGAAAAAAAGATATCCAATTTTTTCGTCTTATGCTCCAAGTTAAAGGAATAACGAGCTTGAAATTTATTATTTATACTGTACAAGATAGTACGAATATTATTTATGAATAAAATTGATCGATTAATTATTTGACGTTATTATTTATATATATTTTCTTCTTTCTTCTATTATTATTTAACACGACGTGTCTAAATTTGGAAACAACATTATTGATTTTTTATTTTGTCCAATTTTAAACGCTTTATAAGTAATCACATTTCTAGTAATCACGATTGAATTAAAAAAAAAAAAAAAGAAATGTAATAAAATTCTTTTACACGTATACATTATTATTTCTCGTTGTATCTGCAATAAAAAAAAGAAAAAAGAGGAAAAAAAGGGCAGACGAGGGGTGACGAGGAAATAAACGAAATCACGAATGGAGTGACGATGAAACTGGATCATCCAAGAACATAATAAACGACGAGAAGTTCGATGAATAGTAACGACGTGTGTCGAGTATGGGAGAGAGTGAGTTCAGTTATGTTCGTCGAATCCGACGCGTTTTGTTCAACGCTTGAAAATCGGTCGGGTGGTGGTGGTGATGGTGGCAGGCAGGCTGGCAGGCAGGCTGGCAGGCAGGAACGCAGGAAGCCCCTCGAATAACCGAAAATCGTGAAACGTTCGGGAGTATTTGCAAGGTGGTCGGTTGGTCTGTCAGTCGGTCGGTCGGTCGGTCATATATGCAGCTCGTTTCCAGGCCTCCCATCGAAAATATAAATCCAGTTTCGATCGTGCCGAATTTCGTGACAATCGTCATCCGTGATGGTTCCACCACCACCACTACCCACAACCCTCACCATCACCATCACCAGCAGCAGTAACAGCAGCAGGTCAAAGCAAAAGTGAAAGAGAGATAAATAGATAGTTCAAATGCATAAGAGAATAGGATGCAATATACGATGATGACGTCAACTAAAAGCAACAGTAACTTTGATGGATAAACATAACGCCGTTCGTTCGTTCGTTCGTTCGTTCGTTCTACGAACTATGTCGTATCGCGATTTGGATGTAACCCCGTGCTTCTCTCTCTCTGACGTGTTAATGGACGTGTCCAGGTATAGTGTAAATTTACTGAAAATCAAGCCGGACCATCAATTCGATCGCTTATCATGATAAATACGACGTATCTATCTGGCGTTATACGTATGTATACACGAGAACGGTGTAATCGCATTTGATAGACAAGATCTATTATATATATCTATATATATATAACATATCTACATATATATATGTATTTCTCTTGGTACTACTCACCGGACCGAACTGCTCAAAATAATTTTTGACGTCCTCCAGCGTCGTCGGTGCCGATAGCCCACCGACGAATATCTTCTTTGTCCTCGTCACCATCTGCAACACGAAAAATTTACGTTTTGATTATAAATCAAATTTCTTTTCTGATATACTCTTTAATATCCTATATTTATGTAAATACGTACGTATATCTCTATGAACGATAAAAAAAAAACAAAGAAACGATTAGAATAAAGTTATTCTTTTCTCGTTGTGTAATATAACTCGAATAACGGGAAGTGGAAAAACAGCTTGAGAAATGTGGTTAAATTCGTGGATAAAGAAATCAATAAAAAGGGCTGTACGTAAGATAAGCCCTTTAGTGTATGCGATGTAAAAACAGCTATTTGAAAAAGATCGTCTGTCGCTGTTGACGTTAGAAGTAACACTGACGACGGTTATCTGCTACATTTTACTCGGATTTATTGTTTGTTTACATTTATTTTATCGTTTCATTGAACGCGCAATCGTGAGCAATCGTTGAAATGAAATGAACGTTGCTTTTATGTAAACAAAATCTTTCTAATCTTTATATCGCACGCAATAATGTTTCAAATGAACAAGTACGCGTGTCTTTTAACATTTACGTTGCAAAATGTATGTAAATCTTAACATACTTTTTAGGGAGTGGCGGAGAGAGGGGTGGTGGTGGTACTGTTTAAATGCCATCGAAGTGATTGTGCGTTTTCAGTTACGTTCGTTGTTTAAGCACTTAGAAATTTTGAAGAAAGTTTCGTGCTAAATTTTAATACGAATCATTGCGCGTTGAAGTTACAGAAAGTAACGCCCAACAGCATTAACAGCATGAAAATGTATATTCGCTTGGCAAAGATTGCAACACGGCATATAAAGTGGGAGGGGGGGATGGAAGGGGGAGAAAGGAAGTATAGGGCAGGAAAGGTCACGGTCAAAAGGGAGGAAAAGTGTAAGATGTAGGTGGCCTTCACAGTGAAAAAGCTCTTCTTTTTTTCTTCCATCCCCACTCACTCTCTCTCTCTCTCTCTCTCTCTCTCTCTCTTTCTATTCTTTTCCACCACGAATCATAAAAGCTTTTTACTTGATAATGTATGTACTTATCTACGTACATATATGTATTCTATGCATCGTATAATATATACATAAAAATATACTACACACATATAAAAGAAAAAAAAAAGGTGCATTTCGAGAAATAAACGAAAGCAACTGTTTTGCATTAAGGAATTCCTAAAGAATTAGAAATTAAATAGAGAAAAATCCTATTATAACGGATTGTCTAGATATTCATATTTCTGCTTTTTTTTTATATGAAAAGAAAAATAAAAAAAGAACAAGAAAAGAAAAACTCTCAATGTCCCGATATTTTTTGATTAAATTCGGTTATCTCGTTAAGATACCGCACTCTGTATTATATCATCGAGTTCATTATTGAACGAAAGACTACTTCTGTTCGTGGGTACAGGTAAAAAAAAAAAAAAAGAAAGAAGAAAAAAAAATAGCAAGAAGGTAAAGAGAAGGTAGAGATAGAAAGAGAAAAGAAAGATTGAGATACGTAAAAAAGAGTGAGAGAGAAAGAGAGAGAGAGAGAGAGAGAAAGAACACGTTAAGTGAATTGAATGTACGTACAGTCCGGTCGAGTGGCTGCATTATGAAATAATGAAATGAAAGCGACTCCTTGATCCTACGGAACAAGACGAACCAATCGCAAGAAAGTAAGTTAATACAAAAATCTTGGGAAGAGAAAACGTAGTAGGATGGGGAGGAAAAGATAGAAATGCAAAGCTCTCTCTCGGGTTCTCGCTCACGAAGCTTACAAAAAAAAAAAGGGAAGAGAAAAAAACAAGAAGAAGAAGAGAAATGGCAAGTTGGTTACACTTAATTCTTGGAATCTTTGATAATGCTATCGTATCGCAATACGGGACAAAAAGAAAAGGAGAGAGAGAGAGAGAGAGAGAGCATCAGTGAAACATTTTACAGTTTAAAAAGATTTGTACGAGTCAATGAACAACGGAGGACCGAAGGAAGGCGCACAGAAAAACAAATTGAAGAAGATTGACCGCGGAAATGGGAAATTAAGTAGAAGGAAGATAGGTAAAATAATGGAATAGGGGAGAAAATAAAAGTGGGTGGGAGAAGAAGAAGAAGAAGAAGAAGTAGAGTGAAGCTAAATATTGGGAAGGAAGGTAGTAGAAGAGGTAAACTTGGGCAATTTCAGTGATAGCTGGGCTTAGACCTCTCTATATCCAGTGAGTAACGCAAAGCCTCTCCTCGGACGCACGTCCTTCTTTTTCTCTCTACCTCTGCATTCCTGAATCCGAGTTACTTCCACCGTTCCGAGCCCACTCTACTTCGTTCTAACTATCTCCATCTCTCTTTTTACTCCCATCCCTTCGAATAGTAGTAGTCGTCGTTCCTGATGCTGCCGTTGCTGCTGCTCGTTCTTGCTTGCTTATTTCACAGGCGGAATAGAAAGGAAGGAAGGAAGGAATGAGTGAGTGAGTGAATGTAAGTGTGAGAAAGAGAGAGAGAGCAACATTACTGTGAGCGAGTACTCGTGAGCTCGTCCAAGAGGGATCGGCTAATCAGCAAAATGTATAAAGTCTCGGGGATGAAAATAAAATGGTCCGGGATCTCGAAAATTAAATAAACGGCTTGGCCCGATTTCGAGTCGACGAAAAAGCTCGCTTTCTATTTCTCTTTCTCCTTATGAAAGGAAGATCTCGTGGGAAGATATATATATATATATATATATATATATATATATATAAGGAGAGAAAGAAACAGAGAATAAGAGGAAAGCACTTATTCGAATGAAGCTAACCACAGTCA